GGCCGATTGACAGCCATCTGACTTTTTGGCCTTACTACTATATTTCCACAATTTATGTACCATTTTCATTCGTATTTGGCACATACATCATACATATCAGTGTGTTTCATAATCAGATCAAAGATGGCCGAGCAACGGCTATTTTTATTTTGGCCATATTACTATGACACGAAACGCGTGTTTTGATGTAAATAAACATTCTGTTGTATACGCCACTTGGAACTCAAGTTTCAAGGACACGCTCGCGACAACCCCTTCGCTTTAATATGACGAGCACAAAGAGAACTTAACGGGGACTGTGTCATTTTCAATGCCTTGTTATCGGTAGTGATGTCGTTGTGTTCAGCTGTTGGTTTCTAAACTGCCCCAGGTACATGTATGACCTAAATATCATCATCTGTAATTTGAACATTACTGTTAATATATAATCTCAATCCATTTCTTGTACAATTGCATATTTCTATGTATCATATTCTGTTGCAGTTCATCCATTTTTAATGGTGTTTTCAGATGTTGGCAGTCGCAAATATATTATTGTGATATTATTTGTTGGAAACTCTAATATGAAACATCATTTTTTCATCAAATTTTACTTTACTGATGCATTCAAGGCATATTTATTAATCATTTTTTTCAGCGATTGTAGATTAATTAAATTTTTTAAAACGCCAATGTAGATCTGTCAAATGTTTATTCATATTCTGTCAATCAAATTTTCTGACCAGGGGCGTGGCTTAGAATTGATAATAGTTGAAAATAATTAATGCAGAACAAAAATTGTTTAGAAGCAAGGTTTTTGGGTAATCTAACTGGTTATTCAATTGCTTTCATTTTATGTATTGTAGCCCTCTTCTGTGTTGTATATCACCTCAATTTATTTATCAGATTTAATACAGCTCTCTATTTTTTCTTTCTTTATTACAGATTTTATTTTGTTCTTTAAATACACATAAAATAGACATGCAACGACTGTTAGGAGGTCAGATAGGTCTCGAAGACTTTATCTTTGCGCATATAAAAGGTTTCACCAAAGAAATAGAAGTTCTAAAAAGTGAACCAGCTTTGGGACTGACTATTACTGACAACGGCGCTGGTTTCGCATTTATTAAACGAATCAAGGAAAATAGCATCATGGACGGAGAATCAAATGTGTGCGTGGGTGACCATATAGAAGCAATTAACGGCAAAAGTATGGTGGGATGTCGGCACTTTGAGGTTGCGAGAACACTAAAAGAATTGCCTCAACATGCTAGATTTACCATGACATTAGTGGAGCCGAGAAAAGCGTTTGGTAAGTACACACTTGCTTGACAGGATGTCGATTAAAAAACTAACTGGGGCTGCAACTTTGTTTGAGGAGTGTTCAATTTTGGTGACTCCTTGTTTACATTTTGTCTACAAAGTTGCAAAACAGATTACAGTCAGGACAGTGTTTACAAGTTCACTAGTTAGAAACCAATTACAGAAGTGCAGAGAGAGACGAGATTTGCATTTCAAAGTTGTATTGTAATGGCTGCGAAAAAATGCATGTTCTCATCCATATTGCATTAAAAAAGTGAAAGGCACACATGAGTGATTTCAAACTCGTTATGTTGGCAAATGAACTGAATCAGACAAGAAGTCATTAGTACGGGGAAATAAAAATGCTGTGGCCTCATAATGACAATCAGTGAGTTGGGTAAGAGCTTGTATCTTTTGTTGTTATGGTTGTTAGTTAGTACGTGCCAGGTATGTCTATTGATGATGCGTGGTATATACAGGTGCAGTGTACGTAATCTTTGAAATTGTTACTGCCAGTAATGCTCCATAAACTGTATGAAGGCGCAACCACTTATGACCAGTATTATTAGGCATTATAGTTGTGAGCAGGCACCCTAGCTTAGTGTTATTTTATTTTTACAAATGATTAGGCTGTACCATAATGTGAGTTCTTCTGTAAAAATGATTCATTGCTTTGGATATAGAGACGAATTATGAGATTGATTCAGTGTGGAATTGTCAGTAAGCTAAGTAGTTCAGTATTTTGTCTGCAGGCTATGGGATGCCCTAGACGCATCAACAATTCATCAGCTCTGTGGTTCTCTCATCTTGCCGATGTTTACGAACAAATCTATATGGCTGCAACCCTTCAGGAAAATGATATTCTGAAATCCATTTGCACGGCAATTACACAGCGTGTGTTATCTCACTTATATGCCATACAGTTTTTAAACTTCACTGCATTTCAATCAATTATATTTGAAACTAATCAACTTTCCTTGTCAAAGTGTACAGGTTGATATCGTTTCGCAATATAAATTATCATTCTCAGACCCATTGAGGTAAATTATCGGGGGCATGGTATTTTAATTCTCATGTTGATATTTTAAAGGTCTGAACATGATTAAATTTGAAATAAATGCTTGGTTTCAAATAAATTGTGAGGTTGATTTCTCAAAGAAAATTGCAAGTTGTTTTTCTTCCTGTGTACGGAACTTTTCTCTACCATATGAGCTGAACAAATCATATACTGTTATTTTACAAATATTTTCATATTTATTTAATGACCATATATAGTCATGTGACTTTATGGTAGATTGACATGCAGCCATTATTTGTTTGAAGACATAGGCTCATGATCTGATCAACATACCGGTATGTGACCATATTAAAAATGCATAATTATCATTGCAGATATAGATATACACTATTGCAGATATAAATTAGTGCAATTGTAAACAAACTGGTTTGTGTGATATAGGAGATTTACTCTGACGTACGATAAAGCCAAAAGTCTATACAACGTTCTACTTGATTTATACCACTCCACAAATGCCTAGCTATGGTGCTTGCAATATCTCATTATCTATTCAGATTTATGCAAATGTCATACACACTGTGAGAGTGTCTTGAGAAATAAAGTAATATTTATTGATAATTTTAAATGCTGTGCTCTAGGAATGGATAATACTGGCTTGATCTTAAGTTTCAAAACTATGGTCAATGGCTGACTGCAATAAGATATTACTAGCACTAAAGCTGGTCATTAGTGGAATGGCATATCAGTAGGAATTCAGTGTATTTTTCATGCATAATATTTCTAATGGAAATAACTGTAAAAAAAATCTAGTATACATACTTCACTTGATTTTTTGTAAAACTACGAATGCAGAATTTACTGAATTGAAATAAATGACCTGTTTTTTTTTAAGTCATGTGATGAGTCATGTGAGATTAACTCACCTAACTTGTAGAAATGTAAAAAAGGTTACTTTTATGGAAATTCAGGATTGTATAATCCCTTGGTAATGTCGCCTGCCAGCGGTACATGTAACATTGTTATCTCAAGTCTTTATGGAAAAACTTAATGTACGTCATACTCTGTTGTCAGCGAGGTTTTATTCACATAATACCTTTTACTGATATGTCAAGTATAGTACAATGATTAAACCCTGAACAAATAATATCATTTATGGGTTCTTCTAATACAGCAATTATTGTTAAAGATGGTTGAACTGTTTGTTGGAAAATATATTTGTAGATGTTACCTGTACTGGAGGTAGTTTCAGACAGTGTAAAACTCAGAAACAAAACACAGAAAGACTTGTAGGTGTAACTTGTTTTATTTCTTGTCTATGATAAAAGCAAAGCATATATATGACTAACATCAAATGGGGTTTTATTTTGTGAGAGGTGACAATGACAATAGTAGAGAAAATAGCTCAGTGTCAAATGCTAATTCCTAATGTTTGAAATCAGGTATATGTGTATGTATGCAACAGGAGAAGAGTAGTTGATAAAAGATGGGGCTTTTCGTACATGCCATGCCTCACAGGGAATTTTTTTGAAGAAGATGCATCATTACAGGGATGCATTTGACTGAAATTGGAATGCCTGCCTTTTGATTAAAGTCTGATGAGTTACTAGTCTGTATTTGATTAGGTTATGCTAAGGTTACAGTCCTCTGGCATTGTGGTACAGTTTGTTGAGAATCCAGATACCTGATGATGATGTAATCTAATGATATCTCTCTCTCTCTCTCTCTCTCTGAGACGTACTCTATGTAATCCCCAACTGCATTCAGGAGTTCTGCTTTGTTCAAGTTTTGTATTGCCTGAGCATGTGATGATGCATTATGGAAATGAAATTCAAATTTAGTGCTTTATTAGCATGTCACTGAGCATATGATGATGCATTATGGGAATAAAATTCAAATTTAGTGCTTACTGAGCATGTCACTGAGCATATGATGCATTATGGGAATGAAATTCAAATTTAGTATTCACTGAGAATTCTCTTATTAGAAAGACACTATTATACAATGTATATAGGATTAATATCAATTCTAACCTGTCACTGTGCCTGATTTCTAGATATATTCAAGCACACTCACTATAGAAATCAACACAAAATCAAATATAAAATGATAATTTGTTTCTTATTGCAGCTGAAATAGGGCCACGGCAAGCTAACCGGGTGGGTGGCAATGCGTCATTAGCGCCAACGCCAACAGAAAATCAAGTGAAATCAGGAAAAGAAACTCTACGACTCAGATCTAAGGGACCTGCTACAATAGAAGCATTGGTAAGCAATATGTCTGTACATTTGACATCAATAACAACACTGCTGGGTTCTATGTTGAATCACTGAGCCCCAAAACGATACAAGAATAATGATTTGTTGACAAAATTACAATGGCTGGATTTGAATTTTTTTTTAAATTATTGAGAAGTCTATAGAAGTAGGAGTGTATCACACATGACACCCTAAAGCTGTTGTCATATAAATATGATTTTAAGAACTACATGCATTGTTTTCCAATGTCCTGCCTGTTGACAATGTACAATCTTTTTGCTTTCAGCCGAGTGCGTTTGAAGAACGAGCCATCAAGAAAGTGGATGATTTACTGGAAAGTTACATGGGTATAAGAGATGAAGAATTAGGTGAGGAGAAAGCATAGAATAAATGTGTGGCAGAAAAATTGTTGTACAAAGCATGTTTTCTGTATTACCGTACTTCCCCGGTCATAAGCCCAGTGGCCTCAAGATGTAAATGCATTTTTGGGGTTTTAACATTGTAACCATGTTACCACCCTTGAAAAATTATCCAAATTATATCTTTCATTCTACATGCTGGGCTAAGGGGAATATTGCATATTTTTGGAGAAAAAAATTTGCGAAATGAGTTGTCATTGATTTCAGTTGCTATGCATGCAATATTGTTTTCTTTGTTGTTTACATAATGTTAAAAGGTCTTAGAAACATGCTTTTATACTCATCCACTGGTTAAAATATTCTGTAAACTGATTAATTTTTGCTATTACCATAAAAATTTCATAATTTCATGATTTTTTATTGCGTTTGTGAAGACAAAATCTTGCAAAAGTAGCTGACTTGCAAAATTAAAAAAAAAAAAAATTTTATGCGAAATTAAGGTGGTTTAAGGTAATTTGTGACATCTTGTTTTCCGTACTGACATCACATGACAATTCCAAGGGATGACAGTAACGAAAATGCAAGTTCTGTAATATAACAGCGTAATCTACAACTTGTGTATTTCACATTATTCTGTATTCTGAATCATTATTTTGATCACAACTCCTTTTAAAGTGACATTCAGCCTTCGTAATGTTGTTAGAACTCAATATAAAGAGACTATTGAGAGGTATTTGAGCTTGTGAAAATGCGCGGATAGCGAGAAATCGGCCCAAAACAGACAGCAACTGGAGAGAATTTTATTTTTCGGTGGGCCATCGACAACAAAGACCCAAACGTCAATTACTCAGCTTTGTTATTGAGATCAGTTGACCTAGGAAGTCTTAAAAAGTGGTTGCTGGTCATCGTGCCTGTCAATTTAAAACTTGTGCCTTACCCATTTTTTTTGTCAATTTTGATGTACCGTCATATAATGTTTAACTTTATTGTGTATTTCTAGGACAGAGCATGTTTTGTCAATCAGAATCTACTTTTTATTACCCCAGACCATTCGTCCCGGTGTTATCGCTATCGCCACACGAGACTCCAGCTTGTCTCCTATACAATTTTGCTTCCGCCCACTTAATTTTAATATTCATATGACCTTTGCACTGACATCGATAGCCAATCGCATTCGACCGCGGACGTCACTCTAAATAAACAACTGAATAAATTAATATACCATATTTGGAAGATAGCGGGTAAATTCAACGTTGTTGGTGTGTTCGTGTGTTGTTCGCACGAAACGAGTTCATGTTTCGTTATCTTTCGCAAGTAAAACAGGTCGATATGTATTAAACATGGCATTTGTTTTCTTGTTTTAACCCCCTTATTACGCAAGCTTCCGTCGAAGTGGTGTTTTTTTCGACGATTTGTGGCATGTTGCAAAACGAACGAAACATTGCGGCATTCTTAGCGGTGGATAAGGGATTGACTATGTCGTCACATTTATGTCTCGTTTGAAAGAGAATAAACAACCGCTCAGAAAAATATGTTGCTAATATTTAAGTGCGGTGCCTTGAAATCGCCTGCCCGACGTCCAAATTTCAAAAGGATGTTCGATTTGCAATGACGACCGTTCATATGTACTAGGCGACGTTACTAATTACTACTAGGGTCGGTGTTTGCATTAAGAATTATAGAACAAAAGATCAGCAAAGCGGTGCTTTTGTCGGCGATTTTGTCAAAGGGAATATTGATAAAATGTTGCAAAACAGAATCGCGAGTTTGGTGAAAAATTGCGCCGGCAGCATTCTCAGCGATGGCGACACCCGAGAAACACCGTGTCACGGTGCATTCGTGCATCAGTACACCGAAGAAATACATACATATTGTTGCGGACGACTATTGTAGACTGTGTTCGTGTAGTCTTCGAGTTTGTGGACAGTTAAAGTCGTGTGTGAATTTATTCAAGCCAGGAAAAGCAGGAGGGATAACTTATGGAAATCGTCTTTCCAATTTGATCCAGTGCGACGTTGTGAAAGGAGCGACTCTGTCGTCTCATCTATGTCTAGTTTGTAAGAGAAAGATTGATAGCGCAGAAAAATCCGCCAATAATGTAAAACAGTGGCGTGAAATTGTCAGTCATTCTAATATCTCCCAACCTGTGAACGAAAGGGTTAAGCGTGCTGCCTTGAAATCGCCTGCCAAAACTAAAATGGCGCGTGTCACGTGACTTTGTTTACTAAAGATAGCGTGGGCGTTTGATTGACACTCAACTCATTAGTATTCCACCAATCACAGCTACATCTACTTTCTGGATGTGCGCAGTCAAATTGTATAGGAGACAAGCTGGAGTCTCGTGTGGCGATAGCGATAACACCGGGACGAATGGTCTGAGGTAACTTTTTATCAATGAATTTAAAAACATTATTTCATTAATGTTAAATGTAGAAAACAGATTTTAATATAATAAAAAAATCTTTATATTTTTGTTTTACCTGGGACAAGAGGCAAAATGATCAGTATTCACAGAATATAACTCTTTTGGGGCGGGGGATTTGCGACAAATTTGTTAAATTCTCCAAATGAAAAAAATATGTTTTTAATAGTATACATATTCGTGTAGTTATATTTTGATTCATTTTGTCTTGGTGAAATACCAGAATTTCAAACCAATAACTATTCCTTTTGTAAATACTGTGCTCCTTGTGATTTATCAACAGATGTGTAGAGTCAAAGAGACTCCTTATCTGTGTGGTCAATTTTAATATAGACTCCTTATGACCATCTGCATACTCAATATTCACCATGTTGCCATAGTTTTATTTTTCAGATGAGATTTCAGACCTACTTCTATTTTTAGAACTACTACAGTTTAAAAACGATACTTATGTAGCTGACTATTATTTTTTTTCTCACAGCTGCCACCATGGTTGAGTTTGGTAAAGATAAGAACAATCCTAATCAGTTTGCTGCCGCCATGGATGACAACTTGGGTGATTTTGCATTCCCGGATGAATTTGTTTTTGATGTGTGGGGCGCTATCACAGATGCAAAAGCAGGAAGAATTTAGTTCATAAGTCAAGATCCTTCTTGCCTTCCCCTTGCCCTCCATCCCCTGTATCCTCAGAACACACATTAAATAAGTCTTGGGGACTTTGTTATCATACTTTTATTCAAGTCAGCTGGCTGAAGTTACTTAATGTCTGCATGAGTTGATAGCAGCTTAGAAGTACCAGTGAAATTAGTGATACCCGTAACACTTGTTATATTTGTTGTTTTACATCCCACCAGCACAAAAATAAGTTCCAAATCACAGAATCTATTAGAAATAACAACATACTCAAACAATATCCAATTTGCCGCGCACACTTTTCAGACTGTGATCACAGACAGATTTACTAGAAATTGATTTAATTTTGTGAAATACACTTATGTGAAAATTTATATTGACTGCAATGCCTTGCAGGAATACTGTATACAGATTATACAGAACTTGTGTACAACAATAGTTTACAGCTGTTACTGTTTCACCTTATGTACTGTAAAATACTTTATTTTAACTGGAATTTGTTTTCCCTGAAAAGACATTTTAGGTGTTTTGTATGGAATTTATTTTCACTGATTTTTGACAAGTTGAATGTAAAATATAGGAAAAAGGGATTTTATTTTCACTGAATCATTCCTTCAGCGAGAATAAAGTATTTTGCAGTATGTATGTTCACATATAACATCCGGATTCAATGTCAGGTGAATGTCTTGTGTGATATGTATTGTCCTCTCTCTCTCTCATCACAAAAGTGGGCGAGGTCATTCAGTTCATTGAGTTTCTGCTTTCATATTTGAATGGGTCCATCTTTAAATGAACCTTGCATATACAGACAAGAGGACTGTTAGAAAGTCTTGGCTTTGTACTAACAACTAGTTTATTATCATTGTTCTGAGAATGTATTTACAGAAACCCCCTTCTCATTGGTAGATTAGGTTCATTAGCATAATTCAGTACACGTGGTTTAAACCATTATGTGAAATAGGTAGGCAAGAGAATCAAACATGACAATCAGAAGCGATCACATAATTGATATTCACTAGGTGGGCCAGTAACACTAATTTTGTTGTTACTTATAATAATGTAGTTTTCTTCAATATTGATTTCCCATTGGGCAGAACAATGGCATTAGGTGGCCATCTGCATGTTTGACGTCAGAATTGTGCTATGTGCCAAATTATCATAATTTTAATAATTATAATTTTGTTTACTTTCTACCGATGACATGAGACGAGTATTCAATGGCGTTCACCTATGAGTCTTAGATTATTACCTGATCCATTACACAATTGCATTTTATACTCAAATAGTAATACAGAACAAGAAAAAATAATCAGGAAACAGTAATTTCATGAACTTTTTTCTGTAAAGATGCTTGCTTTGCTCTCAATGGTGTGGTTGTAATTTGTTTTATGTAAAAACTGAGGTAATAATTGCAGGTAGCATTTGTTACATTACTGTTCTAGATGCTGTAAATATTTAATACCTCAAATGTTTTCTGTGCATCCCTGCCCCCAAATTGTTGTCATTATGTTTTTGAGATGAGTTGTGGTGGGCTGAGCCATGCTGATAGGTCTCTACATGCTTTAGCAATAACAGATGGTTCCATGTTTCATAGCCTGAAGACAAGTCGAAAATATAGTATTAGCGAAGTATCTGTTAACAACAGATATGGAAGAAAAGAAGCAAGTGTCTTACCATTCATTCCTTTGTTATAACAAATCTAAATCTTGTGCTGAAGGAAATTACCTTATATAATACAAAAAAAAGTAGTACAGGTAACTTGTTTTTCAGACAGATTCCTGGGAGATGATGCAACCATTAGGATGTAGCTTACTTGTTTGCACTTAAAGAAATGAACAGATTAATATATTTACACTGTCATTTTCACTGTTTTATTGTGCGTTTTGTTTTATCTTGATTAGTGTGCACTTGAGTGCCCCACCCTGCCTTAGCAATCACTGGTGATTTGATTCTCATATCTGCCACTAGAGGGTGCTCAGCAAGTTTCAGGGTTACTTAATTGTATCAATGACAAAAAACCTGACAACTATAGATTATCAGACATATTGCACTTGTTTATGATCGTTTTTTTTTCTACTGTAATACACTCTGAGCTGTATCTTGAGTCTCATGACCTTACACACACGCACGCACATCTCTTGTGAAAAATTAACTTAAAGGGCAGTAGTCGTCGCGCCACACATGTGCGAGATATATGGGTCTCATATAAACAAAGATGGCGACTTTGACTGTTGTGCAGATCAACAAGTACGAACTAAGTAGTTTCCAAACTTTAATTAGGTAATTTTCAGGTGTTTGGAGGAGTCACCGGCGGTAATCAGTGCAAGTCGTGCCCAAGTCAAAACTTAAAATTGTGAATTTGAAGAGCGCATTGGATTGTGGGAAAAATCAATGTTTATCTACACAAATGTCACACATGCACAGCACGACGACCACTGCCCTTTAAACTACATTGAGTTATCCATTATAAGGTTGCAATTTGAATACAGGTTAAATTGAATTTAAATTAAATTGTAACTATATAGACTTGGAAATTCATTTTAAGTTTAATGAATATAAAAGTATAGGTATATACAGTATAGAGATGAAAATTAATTTAGTATTAAAATAATTCAGAATGTTAAAATTGCGGAGCCACTATTGGCTTCTTTTAACGTAGTGGTTCATTTTTACGATTAAATTTACTTTCATGTAAATACAACAAACAGTCATTTTGTATATTTCTGTTATAATCGTATTCATATGAAAAAAATAATTTGGCCTTTATTTCAGTATTGTACAATAAATACCAACAATTGTATGCTCTAAAAAAAAATCTACTCATCTTGTAATACACATGCATTGATTGGCTTAAATGTGATACTTTATAAGAATTTACGATTCAAAAACCAATTAGATAAAGCCTTCTATATTGTATTAATTTTGTACTTTGATTGTTTTATTTATGTAACCCAGCTTATGTTGTTCCCCTTCAATTAACTTACAAGAAAAAACAATTGAAAAGTGTTTGACACGATTTTGAATTCTGGCATGACTAGTTTGATCTAGTCATGGCAACAAGATATTTTCATAAAAATTTCTAATTTATATTGAGATAATTTTTAAATATACATATTGTACTATTGTCAGGTTTTGTACATCCTAATGTAATCATGTTGAATCTAAAATTTGATGTTTTAGTTTTATTTTCTTAATGGTATGCGTGAAGTACTGTAATCAATGATGCAATTTCTTATTTTATTCTTTTTAATATGTTCTTGTTACATAATGTAAATCGTTACTGAGCATTGGAAATAAATGTCAGAAATTAAAAATCGATGCGTCAGTTTTGTTGAAGTCTGCCCTCTACGTGCAGTTTTTGAATTTATATCGTTATCATGGGGGTGATATTTATTCTCCTGCTAGCCTTCGGGGCTCCTCGGTCTGCCTACTTTTAAGAATAATAAAAGCTACTCTATTCTTATGTAAATTACCTCCATGAAGTAGAACAGTAATATAGGTGATTTTCTGTTCGGTGCGATATCTCCTATTATGCGTGATCCGCGCGGACTGAACGTCTTCTGCAAAAATTTTATGATTTTGAACCTGAATTTCTTTTCGTTTTGACGCTATGACATTTGTTTGTACTGTGTTTTACCTTCTATTTTATGTCTATTGCTTTGTACATCCTCGCTGGGTCGGGTTGTATTAGTCAAAAACGGTAGCGACTCAATTCCATGCAGACAATCAATATTAGCGACATCTTTATACTGTGTTATCAAGTTGTTAAAAACATTTTCACCAAGGTAAGAGTGGTTGGAGTCCGGAAAACGCGCTTTTCAACGCTGTCACTGCTGGGACTAGACTAGTATTATGGCAAGCAAATAACACCGAATAAACGGCAAGGTAAAGACTATGTCT